ACTAGCCTTGAGCAAAAGAGCTCAGGGATAGCATCCAAGGCCCTGAGTTCAAACCTCACAACCAAAAAGAACAAAACAAAAGAATTCACCTCAACAGTATCAACAGAAGTCAAGGTTGGTGGCTTATGCTACTTGGTGGCTTTGCTACTTGAGGCAGATCCAAAGCCAGACTGGATAAAAAATTCTTCAGTATTCTGTCTCCAATTAACCTCCCTGGCATCCCCTCCGCCGCAAAAAAAAAAGAGTTGAGCTGGAAGTGTGGCACAAGAGATAGAGCACCAAACTTGGGCAAGAAAACCAAGTAAGCAGGAGGTACCAACTTTAAGCAATGATAGAATACAAGAAAAAAGAGTCATGATTTTGAGGAAAAAAAAAGTGAGGCTAAATCTAAACTCGCATGATTCTTTTTAAAAGCACATGCAAATATACTTTCGTCTCATTAGTCCTATCTATTGCTCTCTTTGCCACATCTGCTACCTAAGCTTGGCTTTTCCCTTTCCTTTATTGTTACATGTTGTATAGAATGCTTTCCTTCTCAAAGAGCAGAAGACAAGACCTACAGTTCACAGAAAAGCCCCCTGTGGAATCCTGCACTTCAGGCTGTGAAAGTGGAGGTGGTGAAGGAAGGCTCCATCCACCCGGCCGAAGCCGCCTGACGGTGCGTGGCCGTGGCTCTACCCGGAGGCTGCCTCTAAGTGTCAGGGAGGGAGGCTCAGCGGCCCTGGGCCTCTGGTTTGAAGCGATGAGACATGGAACTATAATCTAATTATCTGGACTCACAGGTATTTTGTCTGAACAAAAGTTCTAGAAAGTGTATTCAGAAAAATTTTGTTTTGTTTTGTAATGCATATTCATATCTATCTTTAATCAATATACACTGCTCTGTGATCACTGTATTTAAATAAAAATATTGAGTTATATTATCCCAGTTGGGTCTGGTTATTCAATAGAATACAAATCTTTTCATGGAAAACAAACCTGTCTCTTTTCTAGTTACAAGATGCTATTACATTTTCACTTCACTTGTTGTGAGATTTTTATCTAATTTACAAAAGGTATAACACTAATATGATAAAGACTTAACCAACATTATGTAAGAGCTTATCTATTTTAATCACCCACAGCAAAGCACAGTGATGCATTAGTTTTAACTAGAAAGGTCAAACAAGGACAATCTAGAGAAGCAGCTCAGGCAGAAGCAAAGGTCCCTGGATAGCACCCACTGCACCGCTGTCTGTCTGAAATGCCCCCACTCCACCAGGTGACTACCAGGATGACCTTGGGATTCCCAACTATTTGCTGGTGGCAATGCCGCCCTCCCAGCTCTGGGGCGGGGAGAGCCTAGAGCAACACAGGTGATGAGTGTTCGATGGGCAACATGGCTTGGGCAGAACAGCGGGTGACTCTTACATCATGCTGGGCACGGCCCCACGAGCAGGCTTCCCAGCTCAGTTTACACTTAAAGATTCCTTTGTTCCTGGGAGTTCTTTCCACAAGAGAAATACTCCGCGGGGAAGCTTCTCCCGAGGCATGGGCCCCTCACATTAGCTGAGACATCTGAATTTCCACCATGCTAGCATGGTCTCCTCCTTGTATAGCACAGCCATTAGGGTGTATCACCACAATAAAATTCAATTTTTTCTTATTTTCCCTTACTTTGATCAAATCCAAGCATACTTCACATCCTTATGAACTACAATTTGAGAGATAGCCATTAATTTCAATAGATGTCCTATGAATAAATAAGCTAATACAGAGAATAATCCAACAGAGAGCCACTGACCCACCCCATCAATCACCCCACTGTCAGAGAGAGATAAACCCTGCTTAGCAAATTATAGCATACCAATCAATAAATTACTTACATATCATATTTTAATATTTTATGTACTTCAAATGACAAGATTTTCTATAAATATTTCAAAACATTGCTTATAAGACGGTATAACCCCTATTTTCACTGTATTTGATGTAGGTATAATTTAGGGAGGGGAAGGGAAAAATGAACTGCTTAAATAGAGATACAGGTGGACCCATTGCAACAATGAGATATACAAGACGTTAAGTAGAAATACAAACTTTACAACTTTGGTGAGGGGGTGGGAAGGGGATGGGAAGGGGAAACAAAGGAGGCGGCAACAGTGCTTGATAAAAAATGTACTCATTACCTTGCTCATGTAATTGTAACCCCTCTGTACAGTATTTTCACAACAAAAAAATCACGAAATAATAATAAAAAAGAACTACAAACGAAGTTAAATTTTTTTTTAACAAATCACAAAGTAGGGATATGTATGTGACTGATGACTTCATTACTGAGTAAGAGCTGTATAAGGAAGTGCCTGTCCCTCTTCTAGACACTTCTCCGCCGTCTGTCAAAGACTACGGTGGGCACTTTCGCAGTCACTCACCTGCCTGTTATTTTAAGTGGCCAGTGTTGAACTCCACACTGTGAGTGTGCTAACAAGCAGCAATGCACACAGCACACAGCAACTCCTACATAGGACAAGTTTCTTTTCAAAATCCTCTGTAACTCTAAGTCTGAAGTCTAGAGCACACTCCATGTTATCATTACCAGATGCGTTACCCTTGGGCTGCAGGGCTGACAAGGATGCAGGCTTACTGCATTAGGCGAGGGGAAGGCTGCCATTTGCGAAAATCTATAAACTAGAGCCACACAGCCTGTTCTCTAATGGAAGGAGGCTCTTCCTCTTGGAGGGGAGCCAGGGTCTACTGGAGACGCTGTGCAAGTTAGTGAGGGAAGCATTTCATTCCCAGAGGCTGAGCTCAGGACCCCTTTTAATATCTGCCGCCTCTTATTGTGGTAGGGATTTGGATGTGTCAAGATGAAACTGTCAATGTCTACCCTGAATGTTTTCAGTGGTTACAGTGACAGATTATGTACAAGGTCGTGAATGAAGCGGGGCTTGATCTAAAGTGACGCTATGAATCCGCCCTCATCAGACTCATCAATTCTAATTCACTCACGTCTTTTTTGAACATTCAGTCGGCTTCATCTGTCGCAACTGCCTGCTGCTCTACCAATATGCTTTTCCATTATTTGGACAGAAGGGTAACGAGAGTGACATCCAGGAGTCACCTGCTCAGCCAAGGCAGCGTCCAGCGTCTCCTGCGCAGCTAGGAGGCCTGTGTCCTCCCCTTAAAACTGAATTTATCAACATTTGAACAAAGGCCTCTTCTCAAAGCTAATGAGATGTCTGCTGAACTCCATGAATTTAACAGAATCCAGATGGTAACTGATAGAATGTTCCAGTTTAGAGTTGGTCAAGACATTGAGTCCTTTTCATTTCTGTCTGCTAATAGTACATACCATCACTCACTGGAGGTGAGCACTAGAGAGGATGGACACCTGAGGCCCGCTCTGCCTACAACAGCTGTTCCGGGACTGTTGCTTTTTATCACAAGCATAACCTGCGTCCATCATTGCAAAGATCATGACAGTGCCTAGGTTCAGTGTGTCTACAATACTCACAGATATCTCATAAGTAGAAATATGATATGAATTTGACTTATTACCAGGCTCTCTTCATTAAGAGTTAGGAACAGAATGCTTTATATTCAGGAAATACCTTTGAAAAAATGTTCATATATGTAGACCAAATACAGACTGTAGGGATTTCACCCAAACTGACAATGTGACAAGTAATACAATGAACGAAAAGTAGGAGAATTTAAAAATTTCTACAAGGGCTTGACAGCTCTCCAATGTGCTAGCAGAATGTGCTAGTACATGTGAAAATCCTACACTTATTCTCTGTTCCAGAACTGCTCTCACACTCGGCTTTATTCATGTCACTCCTTTTCACTTTTGAAACATAAAGAAAGTGAAAATATAGGATGGACTAGGGAAAACTCTCTGTAATATCTTGAATAAATTAACCTAAATGAAGCTGGAAAATTATAGTATAGGTATATGACAGGTTTGAAGTTAGGTACGACATTGTAAAATAATTAGAAATAATTAGAAAACATAAGCCAGGTGCCAGTGGCTCAAACCTCTATTCGTAGATACTCAGGAAGCTGAGATCTGAGGATTGTGGTTCAAAGCCAGCCCAGGAAGGAAAGTCTGTGAGACTCCTATCTCCAATAAACCACTCAGAAAACTAGGAGTGGCACAGTGGTTCAAAACGCGAGCCTTGAGCTGAAGAGCTGAGGGATAGCATCAGGCCCAGAGTTCAAGCCCCATGACCGACAAAAAACAAAAAAAAAGAAAGAAAACAAGTACTAATTATTCTATACACAGAATGAATTAACTATAGTTGATTATCTAAAAAAAATCTACCATACTATTGTAGTTTAGTAAAACACAGTGGCTCTTCCTTGAGGTAGCTTATTAGTGCCCAAGTAGACATGAATATTAAAGATGTATCTAATCATGTGGTCTAAAGATTGTGGAGCATCCATGTAACTGCATGACCACAGTATAACTGCATAACTCTATAACTGCTCAATGCTGCTAAGTGTGATAGTTACTGAAGTTGTGAGAATGTGGAACTGTTGGGCAGCAGTGTAAAGCCTCTGTGGTCAGGAGGGGCCCTCCCTCACTCTGCCCCTGACCTCCTCTTCGGTGAGTACATCACTGTCACCCAGCAGAGGCTCAGCCGAAGCACGAAACCCAGCGGTAGAACGCCGAGGAGGAGGGTACACATCAGAAGGCAACATCAGATTTTATTCTCATTGCATTCAGTCAGCTTATACCACTCTGTGAGCTTGTTCACATCAACACCAAACTTAAATAAAAACAGTTTATTTCACCATTTTCACTGTACTATTTCTAGAATACTTCTAGCATTTATGCTTAATGACACAATCAAAGTGTTTTCAATCCAAAGACAACATTTACCTAATTTGAATGCATAATATCTTAAACTTCTTCACACTGCAGCAGCTCCAGACATCACACGAAACATCTCATGCCTTTAGTTTTCCTCAACATTGAGTTCAATGTCAAAGACAATCTAACAACAAAAGAACAATACTTGCTTTCTGAATCAGGGTATCAGGGTCCGAACGATGCTCTTGGAAAGGGAACAGTCTCTGTAAAGTAATCCTTTTGCAATGGTCATGCAAAATGGCTGGTGAATCCTGAGTGGGTTAGATGGCCATCCTCTAGGAACACCTGTCAAGACAGTTTTTAATACAAGTGAAATTAGCAGGAGAGTATTTGAAATTTTTCTTGTCAGTACTTTTTAGAATGTTCTATTTAATTATCCATACAATTAATGTACATTTTTGCTAATATAAGCCAATAATTAAACATCATTTTAGTATACAAATTCATTATTTTAGATAACACTGAAAGTTAGTAATTTTTTAGGCTTTATATTAAAGCTGTTGGCAATTTTGGAGATTTATTTATGAGTGGAAGGATTTTATTTTTTTATTTTTTTTTAATTTTATTTTATTTTATTTGTGAACATACTGTACAGAGGGGTTACAATTGCATGGGCAGGATAATACGTACATTTCTTACCAAGCATTGCAGCCTCCTCCTTTGTTTACCCTTCCCATCCCTTCCCAGCCTCCCCCCTCCCCCCATCCCAATCCTTCTCCTTCCCCCCTCCCTCCCACCCCCTTCCCCCCCACCCCCCTCCCCCCGCACCGACGTTGTAAAGCTCGTTTGGACATGACAACTTGTACTTCTATTGTTGCATCAGATCCACCTGTATCCTTAAACAACTGGTTTTTCCCCATCTCCTCCACAAGTTATACTGACATCAAATATAGTGAAAGCAGGGGTTATACTGTGGGGGAGGGACATACAAAGCAACAAAGAGATAATCTTATAAATGCGTTAGAAACACATGCATGAAAGAAAAAACATTAAAATACATATCTAAGGGTTCATTTTCCTGACATCACATTATCTGACCTTTTCCGCTTGACTCGTACATATACTAGATATTGCAAATAAGGAAAACCATGGGACCTATGTTTCTTTGGGCCTGGCTTACTTCACTTAATATAATTTTTTCCAAGTTTTTCCATTTCCTAACAAATGGGGCAATGTCATTCTTTCTGATGGAGGCATAGAATTCCATTGTGTATATATACCACATTTTCTTGATCCATTCATCTACTGAGGGGCATCTGGGTTGGTTCCATATCTTAGCTATGGTAAATAATGCTGCAATAAACATAGTTGTGGTGGTAGCTTTAGTGTGGTCTTGTTTGTAAGCATTTGGGTAAATGCCCAAAAGTGGGATTGCTGGGTCATAGAGGAGTTCTATGTGGAGTCTTTTGAGGAACCTCCATACTGCTTTCCAAAGTGGTTGGACAAGTTTACATTCCCACCAACAATGAAGTAAGGTTCCTTTCTGTCCACATCCCCTCCAGCATCTGTTGTTATTAGAGTTCTTGATTTTTGCCGTTCTATCTGGGGTGAGGTGATATCTCAATGTTGTTTTGATTTGCATTTCTTTTATGGCTAGGGATGTTGAACATTTCTTCATGTGTCTATTAGCCATCCTTCTTTCTTCTTCAGAGAAGCTTCTCTTTAAGTCTTTCGCCCACTTATTTATTGGGCAGTTGTTTCTTTGGGGATTTGTTGTTGGGGGGTTAAATTTTTGAAGTCCAAAGAAAATTTAAAAAAGAAAACCCTGGCCCGTGGAAGGCCAAGAAAAAACCTCCCCCAAACCGGGGGCTTTCTATTGATCTTGCTAGCTATGTCATTTGCCCTGCAGAAGCTCTGCAACTTTATGCAATCCCATTTGTCCAACCTTTCTTTGATTTGTTGTGTTTCCGGGTCTCTATTCAAAAAATTTCGGCCTGTGCCAAGGAGACCTAGGGTTTCTCCTATTCCATCCTGTAATGTTTTCAGAGTGTCTGCTTTGACTTCAAGGTCTTTGATCCATTGAGTGGAAGGATTTTAATCTCTCTCTGTCTCTCAAACCCTTGAATCCAGGGCCTTTGTTCTACCACTAAGAAATAGCCCTAATCCTTGTTTTTGTTTTAGTTATTGTGTTTTGTTTTTCAATTTATCTTACTGAAAAGAATTTCCCTGAAGTAAGTGATTCATTCCCAACAGACACAGAGGGGGAACACCCGGCGTCTGGGAGTGACCACCATGAAGAGACACGGTGAGGGGCTGTGGCCTGCAAGAACCCTTAGGAGCGGTCAGTCATGTTCACGCCCTCACCTTGAACGTCTGGCTTCCAGAACTGTGAGATGAAATGAATTTATGCCATTTAAGCCATCCAGTCTGTGGTATTCTGTCACAGCAGCCCAGAAAACACAATTGGAGACAACGATATTCACAGACCAGATGTGTTTACTTCTTGAGCTGGACGGTCCACAATTTACCAAGAAGGGGTACTATAGAAACTAGTACCAGTCAGTGCCCTTCACTGGAGCTCACCTAACAGACCTGGGAGAACCCCACCTTGCTGACCGCTGCTCACTGATTGGCACGCCCCACAGGCCTGGCAGGGCCACGCTGGCAAGCTGGGTTCCTTAGAAGGGGATGATACTGTTTCCTAACCACAAATTATACAACATTTCCACATTTATACATATATTATTTATCAGAGTTGACAAGACACTTAGAAGTACCTTAGGCCATTTCACCTTTGTAACATTAAAAAAAAAAAAACAAAAAAACTTTTGTTCTTAGAGACCTTCTAGCCAGGTACTGATGGTTTACGCCTGCAATCTCAGCTACTCAAGAGGCAAGATCTAGGAATAGCAGTTCAAAACCAACCTGAGTAAACAAAACAACTAATCTCCAAATAGGCAGCAAAAAGCTGGGAGTGGAGGTATGACTAAATTGGTAGAGCCTTCAGCACACAGAAGGTTCCAGAAGGTGCGAATGTTGGGGTCTAGGACAGTCTGAGCCACCCATTCCATACACAAGGAATACCAATCTGTCATTTCCAAATGACCTCCACTGATCTAGCACCAGGTAGGAGACTACTCAGATACTAAATGAAAGCAAATATTCTCATTTATCTTCTCAAGGTTGTTCAAAACCTGGACTCCAGAGCGTGACTGTATGCAGTTAACTGTCCATGATGACAGTCAGTTTTCCCTGGCATGGATGGGTGACCAGATCAACCCCTCCCCCTGGCACAGCTCTCCGGCCCTGCTGCCACCTGCCTGGTTCCAAACTGCTCCATTGTAGACTGACAGCCGCTCTGGGGAGCACACAGGAGAAGGAGTTGGTGAAAATGGCTCATTAGCAACGAAATGCAAGAAATCTGCAGAGCTCCCTGCGGACATTTCCGAGGGCAAGGCTCTCTCCTCACTTGAGAGTAAAGTGCAAAAACTGAAGAAAAAATTTGTTCTCAAAACTTCTGGAAATTCCTATGTGATTTAACAAATTAAACATTTTAAATAATTTTTATAGTTTCTTTTGCTAAGGTTTGCATTTGATTGAATCACAACGTAAATGCTGGAAAATATACTCTGATGTTTTGGCTTGCGGCACGTGAGCATGTGGAGCTGGCGCGAGGAGCAGCTTGGAATGAGGAGGTGAGACGAAGCCGAGCCACGCAACAGCTGCAAAATTAATCATGTTCCTTCTGGAGTCCTCTGGACCTCGCAATAAACAAGCGTGCGTGCACCCCCCCCACACACACACTTAACTGCCACCATGACTGAATGATACTCAATCAGATTTTTCTCTCTTCTATTTCCTGTTTCTTATTTACCTGACATGATTAATAAGCATGCTCAGCTCACTCCAATGTGTGTCTTACAATTACAGGATACTGTGTAAAGATCTTTTCACTGCATATGTAGAATGTCTGGATTATCAATAAAGACTTGGTTCTACACTTGGGATTTATAACATGCTGTTTTTAGAAAAGTGCAAACAGAGGCAGACTAGTAATGATGAAATTAAAGATAGCTATAGGAATGTCTTATCAGCCATCAAGTAGCAGTGATGAACTACCCCAAGATTCTTTTTCCACGGTCCTCCTGCAGGGTAGCTAGTGACGGTCTGTAGGGTACATGGCTGTCTAGCAGCATGGGCGTGGCATGCACAGATGGACCGTCTGCAGCAGAGGGTGGACTGGCCACGTCCTGGGCACACCTGCTGCAGACAGGCACACACACTGTGCAGATGGGCACACACTGCAGACGGGTACACACACTGTGCAGATGGGCACACACACTGTGCAGACGGGCACACACACTGTGCAGACGGGCACATACTCTGCAGATGGGTGCACATGGGCACACACTGCAGACAGGCACACACACTGCAGATGGGTACACACTGCGCAGACGGGCACACACTGTGCAGATGGGCACACACTGCAGACAGGCACACAGGCTGCAGACAGGCACACACACTGTGCAGACGGGCACACACTGTGCAGATGGGCACACACTGTGCAGATGGGCACACACACTCTGCAGACGGGCACACACACTGTGCAGACAGGCACACACACTGTGCAGATGGGCACACAGGCTGCAGACGGGCACGCGCGCTGCAGACCGGCATGCATGCTGCAGAAGGGCACAGGCACATACTGCAGATGGGCACACACACTACACCTCCAATGGCTGAGTCCGTGATCACTATGTGCATGCTTGGCCTCCTCCACTCCCGGTGGTTCTGAGAGCGTCTGAGCCACGGCAGCGGTGGCGGTCACCCTGCGGTCATACTGTGGTCACACTGCAGTCACCCTACGGCACGGGTCATCGCCGGCCGGTCACAGCCACCACCAGATCTGGTCCCCTGCATCCCGCCGGGCCGCAGAATGATCCCACTCCACTCCACAGAGTGTGAGCTGCAGACAGCTGCCCGCCACATGCTGGTCCTGTGCCCGCCGCCCCGGGCCCCGACTGCCCCTGACATGATGACAGCCTCGCCGCAGACCCCCGGCCCTGGCCCCAGCTCCCCAGCCCTGTCCCCCAGGCGGTCCTTTTGGCTGGAGCAGGGGAACAGCTCATACTGAGTGTTTCTGACTGTTACAAGTGTAATTTCAAAGCAAGAGTGTAACAAGGGTCTGGACACCGGCTCGGCATGGTTTCATGGGTGTAAAGTGTTTAGAACACCAGTTCAGCATGGTTTCACAGGTGTGAGGTGTTTGGAACACCAGTTCGGCATGGTTTCACAGGTGTGAAGTGTTTGGAACACCGGCTCAGTGTGGTTTTACAGGTGT